ATATGAAATATTAACCTGCTAGGTCTTTATTGTAATTATTTAGAAGATTCTAGGTTTTAATTCAGAAGATCTAGGTTATTTGCTTTTTCAGTGATCCACCAGACTTCGTGTTACTTCAAGAAAGAGGCAGGTTTATAAAAGAAAGAATTTATTTTGCAAACAATTAAAACATGACTAATTAAGTATTTACTGTGAGTGGATGTAACTAAACGTGATGAAGGAACCTATGTGTGAATGCGATGTCAGTCAGAGCTTCCTTATCAAAGTAAGCTGAGTTCTGGTGAAAAGAGTTTGGTTTGCTCTAAGCTATAAAGTTATTATCATCAGAAGAACATCAGACGCTATCTGTCATGTCTACTTCACCCGATTTTGAGAGACCCTCTTGGTGGATCCGAAAGTAGCAGGGGTCGGCTGACCGCTGGCACCGGAGGGCGGTAGAATACTGTGGTACCTTCTCTTCAGTCCAGAGATGTCTCGGGCCACAACAGCTGGATGGAACCGTGCGTCTGGCGGACTCTTAAGGAGTCTAACGATATCAGGTTTGTTCTGCAGGAACTGTTCGCTCATCAGCTTTGCAGGTGCAGATAGGTTTTGACGACGTGTCAAAATCTTTGATGGTTAAAAAGGTTTTGCTACAGATGGCCGGCCTGAAGCGATTCTCTAGAACTGTTGACTCACTCAGGATGATCCAGTTTTAAGGTTTTGATGTTATGATTTGCACAGCCAATCAGAGGCTGACAAGTTTGAGAGACGTTACCAAGACAACTCAGAAACACGCCTTCTTGATACAGGATGTTCTGACTGGTTTAATACCATGTGTTGAAGTTTAACTTAACCTTACTTGTTATTGCGTGAGTGCAGATGTGAGGACCTCGTCGTCTAAACATGAACACATGGCAGGTTCTAGTAGACTAGCATAACATAACAACCAGTCAGTGAGCACAGATTAATGAAGCATTTCATTATAGTATAATTATTACAAGTAGTAATAAACAAAAGTTTATTTAATGATTATATAGATTATAAGTCATGGAAGTAGTTCATATTGATTTAGGAAATCATTCTCGAATTTAGCAACAGATTATTATCCAGCTTGTCTTGGATGGGCTGCATGGTGGCGCAGTGGTTAGCACTGTTGCCTCGCAGCACAAAGGTCGCAGGTTCAAAACTCGGCTGCGGCCTTTCTGCGTGGAGTTGCGTGTTCTCCCCGTGCATGCGTGGGTTTCCTCCGGGTACTCCGGTTTCCCCCACAGATCACAACATGCCCTATAGGTTATAAATTGTAAGTCGCTTTGGATAAAAGCGTCTGCCGAATAAACAAACATAATAAACATAATTCGAGCTGGAGTTGTTCCTTCTGTGGAGGCAGACAGATGGGACCTTGGGAAAGAAAGTTATTGTTTATCTTTCAGAGCTGCAGAGTCTGTGAATCCCAGCTGGTACAAAGGCAGGCTCCTTTAAAGGGAACACATGCAGTGTTGTGTCTCCTTTCTGACCAGATGTTGAAAGAACAGACTGTACATAAACTGCCCATTGCTACACGTTACACTACTGTACATACACCTTCTTGGACAGATAACGGATTCTTTTCCTAATGTCTCTCATGACCTATATGCAGATGATATTCAGCTGTACTGCTGCTTTAAGGAATCTGACTTCTATAAACTGTCTGAATTACTAGAGTGTCTATCAGCTATCACCACCTGGCTAGAAGAGAACTTCCTCCAGTTAAACTCTGAAAAGACTGAATGTGTGATCATTGCCCCTGAGAGCATGGTTCCCCTGATTAGTGTAACTTGCATGCTCCACAGAAACAACTCAGCAGAAAAACGATGGTGTTGCTGGACATTTTGCTCAGTTTAATGGCTATTTGTCAGATTCTGAACAAGGAAATGGCTGCAGGCAGTGAAACAGAAGGCAAAAAACTCCGGAGCAACCAGTGACTTCACCCCCTAGCCAATCAGTGGCCAGAATCACAATGTCGGCCTGACTCAGTCTTGCTAGGTACCTCATCGGAGAAGGGACTAAAAATAAGTATGGTATGGTATAAGGTAGAAAGTAGAGGGAAAATACTGAACCGTGCCCTTAGGAACAGTGGTCGGGCTGAGCTGCATCCGCCCGAGTTATTCTGAGTAGTGTTCCTGGAAAACTACCTTAATGGGATGGTTTCAAATTGTTTTTCAGCTAAATATTTTTCCAACATAGCTAACAGTCAAAATTATTATTTCCTGTGTGGAGTCTCATGTGACGGTTTAGATTTGTCTTACCACAAAATTTCTGTCCACAGAGCTCACAGATAAAAGACTTCTGTCCTGTGTGGACTCTAACATGACGGGTTAGATTGGTTTTAAAACCAAATTTTTGTCCACAAAGTTCACAGGCAAAAGGCTTCTGACCTGTGTGGACTCCCATGTGACTGTTTAAATTTGCTTTATGACTAAATCTTTTTCCACAGAGCGCACAGGTAAAAGGCTTCTGTCCTTTGTGGACTCTCATGTGACGGTTTAAATTTGGTTTTTGGCTAAACCTTTTTCCACAGAGCTCACAGGCAAAAGGCTTCTGTCCTGTGTGGACTCTCATGTGTGTGTTAAAATGTGTCTTATGACTAAATCGTTTTCCACAGAGCTCACAGGCAAAAGGCTTCTGTCCTGTGTGGCCTCTCATGTGTGTGTTAAAATGCGTCTTATGACTAAATCTTTTTCCACAAAGCTCACAGGTAAAAGGCTTCTGTCCTGTGTGGATTCTCATATGAATGTTTAAACTTGTCTTATGACTAAATCTCTGTTCACATAGCTCACAAGCAAAAGGCTTCTGTCCTGTGTGGACTCTCATGTGTCTGTTTAAATTAGTCTTTCGATTAAATCTTTGTTCACAGAGCCCACAAGCAAAAGGCTTCTCTCCGGTGTGGACTGTCATATGATTGTTTAAATGTGCCTTATGACTAAATCTTTGTCCACAGAGCTCACAGGTAAAAGGCTTTTCTCCAGTGTGGACTCTCAGGTGAATGTTTAAACTTGGCTTATGACTAAATCTTTGTTCACAGAGCTCACAAGCAAAATGTTTCTCTCCGGTGTGGACTGTCATATGATTGTTTAAATGTGCCTTATGACTAAATCTTTGTCCACAGAGCTCACAGGTAAAAGGCTTTTCTCCAGTGTGGACTCTCATGTGATTATTTAAATGTGCCTTATGACTAAATCTTTGTCCACAGAGCTCACAGGCAAAAGGCTTATCTCCAGTGTGGACTCTCATGTGAATGTTTAAACTTGGCTTATGACTAAATCTTTGTTCACAGAGCTCACAAGCAAAATGTTTCTCTCCGGTGTGGACTGTCATATGATTGTTTAAATGTGCCTTATGACTAAATCTTTGTCCACAGAGCTCACAGGTAAAAGGCTTTTCTCCAGTGTGGACTCTCATGTGATTATTTAAATGTGCCTTATGACTAAATCTTTGTCCACAGAGCTCACAGGCAAAAGGCTTATCTCCAGTGTGGACTCTCATGTGAATGTTTAAACTTGTCTTATGACTAAATCTCTGTACACATAGCTCACAAGCAAAAGGCTTCTGTCCTGTGTGGACTCTCATGTGACTGTTTAAACTTGCCTTACGATTAAACCTTTGTCTACAGAGTTCACAGGCAAAAGGCTTATCTCCGGTGTGGACTCTCATGTGCCTGTTTAAACTTGATATTCCCCTAAATCTTTTTCCACAGTCGTCACAACAATATGATTTTAGTCCTTTCTGGACTTTTCTGCACGAGTGCACTTGTTTCTTCACTCCAACACATTTTCTAATAACCTGACAGTAAGAAGACCTTTTTGCCGTATGTCCCGTCACTCCAACGTGTTTCTGGAGAGAACTCTTGTGGAGAAATAGTTTACCACACTCAGGGCAGCTAAAGGATTTGTTGACAGACTTAACATCTGACTCAGAAGACCTGCTCTTGTTGCAGTCATTGACTCTGTCTCCAGTGTCAGACAGCTCAGAGTCTATGTTCACTTCATCATCCTCTTCATCATCTCTACTAACTTCCATCTCTGAAGAATCAGATGTCTGTTCATGAGGGAAAAGATTTGAGTACTTTCTAGTTTCTGCTGTCTTCTGGTCAGCTGAGCTGCTGGTTGGAACATCTCTGTCCTCCAATTGCTGCTGATGAAGCTGTGAGAACAGAGGTTTCTCTTCATCATCCTCACTCTTTATAGTAACTACAGTGAATGGAAACCTGGCAGCATCCGTCTCCTGATTGGTCCTAAGTTCGTCCTGTTCCTCCTTTATGTGGAAGTGTTCTGGGTCCTGCTGGTCCTCACTAGCACTCTGTTCTTCAGGAGCTTCTTTAACCAGCACCATCGGTTGAACATCTGTTGGAAACACATTATGTGAATTACTAAGCGCTGTAACTTTATATTCACACAAGTCAAGTTTATTTCTAAAGCGCCAAATCACGACAAGAGTCGTCTCAAGGCCCTTCACAAGATAAACATTCCAATACAGGTCAGTTCATTAAGCCAATCAGAAAAGTTTCCTATATAAGGAACCCAGCAGGTTGCATCGAGTCACTGACACTAGTCAGGGACTTTACAGCAATCCTCATACTAAGCAAGCATTATAACACATATAACAGTAGTATTGTTGCTTAATGTTGGTGACATCAGAACTGAATCAGAAAACATCAAGGGGAGAATGGTGATGAAGGTCACGCAAAAGCCTGAACAGGTGAGTCTTCAGCTACTTTTTAAAGGAGACCACTGAGTCCACTGATCTCAGGCTCAGGGGGAGAGAGGTCCAGAGTCTGGGGGCCACAGCAGCAGACGATCTGTTACCTTTGGTCTAGCCCTAACCCTGGACCTCAGGGACCTGCTGGGGGTGTAGGGACTAAGAAGATCACCAATGTAAGATGGTGCTTGTCCATGTAAGGCCCTATAGACCAGAACCAGGATCTTGAAATGAACCCTGAAGTTGACTGGCAGCCAGTGAAGCTGGAGGAGAAGCGGGGTGATGTGGGTGTGTTTGGAGGACTTGGTCAGAAGCCGAGCACAGGCGTTCTGAACCACCTGTAGACGGTCTAGAGAAAAGCTTTTCTGACCCATCACCTGCTTTTACCTGTGTCAAGCCAGCCTCCAGTTTATTGTCGGTTCCCCGTCGATTCAAAGTATTACGGAAAGGGATGTGGAAACCGGATTTCAAAATAAAAGTAAACTTCGAGTGAATTATCAGATATTTTAAGAACATAATAACAAATAATTTAGGCTTGTTCACTATTAGCGGCCTGTCAATATCAAGGCCATCTTATTTTGGATTTCAAAGTAAAAGCCCTGTGAATTTTCATTTTTGAACTACTCTATCAATGACTTCAGAATGCTCTTAAAAGCAAAAGTCATATTTCCAAAGAGCAGTTGCATTTTGTATCAACACTATCAAACCACAGCAATTTGAAATTGCCCATATTTGACTGACTCTTAACAATTTCAAAATGCTCTAAAATGGAAAATTGCTGTTTCCACAGGGTAATTCCACTTTAGATAAACAGTATAAATCCCCACAGTGATACCATATCAATATCAAGTTATTCTGATGTTGCCTTCCAAAATAAAGGCCTTTTTAAATTGTCCACAATTGACCTAATTTTCAGTGATTTCAAAATGCTTTAAAATGGAAAATTGCTGGTTCCACAGGGTATTTCCACGTTAGATCAACTGTATACAACCCCACAGTAATACCATATCAATATCAAGTCATTCTGATGTTGCCTTCCAAAATAAAGGCCTTTCAAATTGTCCATAACTGACCTACCTTTAACGTTTTCAAAAGCTCGAAAATAGCAAATTGCTGTTTCCACAGGGTATTTCCACTTTAAGTCAACAGTATACAACCCCACAGTGAAACCATATCAATATCAAGTCATTCTGATGTTGCCTTCCAAAATAAAGGCCATTTTAAATTGCCCATATACGACCAAACTTTTAGTGATTTGAAAATGCTCTAAAATGGAAAATAGCTGTTTCCACAGGGTAATTCCACTTTAGATCAACAGTATACAACCCCACAGTGATACCATATCAATATCAAGTCATTCTGGTGTTGCCTTCCAAAATAAAGGCCTTTTTAAATTGTTGACAATTGACCTAATTTTCAGTGATTTCAAAATGCTCTTAAAATAGCAAATTGCTGTTTCCACAGGGTAATTCCACTTTAGATCAACAGTATAAAACCCCATATAAACCCCAATAACCGGAGGAAGTCATCTTCTAGCCAGCTGGTGATCGCTGATACACTCTAGTAATTCAGACAGTTTATAGAACTCAGTATCCTTAAAGGAGCAATACAGATGAATGTCATCTGCATATAGGTGATAAGAGACATTATGAAAAGAATCAAGTATATGTCCAAGAGGGTGTACGTACAGCAGAAAAGAATGTAAAGCGGGGTACCCCGCAGAACAGATGGGTAGAATCTGACATTATTTGGTTTCTACAGACACTGTAACTTCTGTTAGAAAGGTACAATCTAAACCAGTGTAGAACAGTTCCAGAGATCCCCATCGAGACACTTAGTTAAGGTGCTGTGATCAACAGTGTCAGAAGCTGCAGAAAGATCCTCATGTAATCCCTCTGATCTCTATTAAGGTATCGCGACTCAGGGTTGCGAATGACCACAGTCACCAGTTCTTGTCATGTGTCTTTGCCTACATATGTTTAATCTCCAAATTGTGTGTACTGAAACACTAATTTCCCTCTGGGATTAATAAAGTATTTTTGAATTGAATTTGAAGATCTAATAATACTAACACTGTGAACTCCCCGTTGTCTGCAGCCATCATGATGTCACTGGAAACTTTAAGCAAGCTGTTTCTGTTGAATGCTTTTTACGAAAACCCGACTGGAATTTATCAAAGCTGTCGTGTAGTTCCAGAAAAGTAATCAGCTGATCTGCCACAACCTTTTCCAGTATTTGAGGTAAAGGGTAATTTAGAAATGGGTCCGTAGCTTTTAGGCTGAGATGAGTCCAAACTTGGGTTTTTTTATGGACAGGTTCAACAACTGCATGTTTGAAAACAGATGGTACAGAGTGTAAAAGAGTTAATTTACATCTAATTAAGGACCCGTAAGACATAAGATTTCATAGTAAATATGAAATCAATCTTACGGACAGTTGGGTTATTTTAACCAGAAGATTGGGACTTTTTATTACAGGGATTATGTAACAATTGTATTAAGTCAGAGACAAGAGAAGAAAGTCACATTTAAAATGTTTAAGATTTATTTCTTAACAATTTAAACAATTTTAAACAAGACTAACTCTAAACTCTAAGTGATGAATGGATCTTGGTGTGAATGAGACGTGAGATGAATGGTGTATGTGTGAGTGATGTTGTCATCAGAACTCTCGTATCCGGAGAAGCAAGCCTGAATGATGTTGTGATGTTTTGCTTTTGCTATGATTGGCGTTTCATAAACACATGAGATGCCATCTTGTCGCTCCACACTAGGGTTGTCACGGTAACCGGTGTAGCGGTAAAAAAGTTGACAATAATAACAGTCTTGATAAAAAAAAAAAAATTATCTCGGTGGGTTTACCGTGGCTGCGGTGTAGGCGCGGTGACCCTTACCAGCCACCGTATCATCTGCTGAAATTGCCGGCGGCACATGCGCTCTTTGTTGTTTACAACCAAAACTTTCTTGAAGCTAAAGCTGAAATAATGGCCAAAGGAGGAGACGGCAGCGCTCAGGACATTTATTATCCCTCAAAGAAGACAAAGTGGGAAGTACGGGTATCTTTTGGATATCCGAGAGACAGTTGATAGAAGACGGCTATCCTGTTTGCAGCACGTGCAGAAAAAGTGTCTGTGAAAGGCAGCAACGCTTCAAATCTCATGACACATCTGCGTGACCATCACCCACAACTCTACAGTCAACGCAAGGCAAGCTAACATTAGCGTTTTAGCTAAAATGCGTGATCCGAGGATTTGGGTTGAGGGAGAATGCAACGAGTGGCTATATAAAGCAGCCGCAGCGCCGCTACCTGCATATAAACCGTGTCGCGGACACCGCCATGTTGAAATGACGCTATGCATTACGGGGCTCCCAGGGGCAGATAAGAGTTGGTCTCTCTCCGAGAATAATTATGAATTTAACAACGATTACTGCCTGATGACATTTTCCCACATCTGCAAAGCTCACTGGAAGGACACAAACCGAGGACAATATTTTCCTGATATAGGGTTTATTACTCAAGTAAGGGTAAAAAAGTATCTGATTAGAAGGCTACTTGAGTACTGAGTATCATCTGATCTAATATTTTTAAAATGATGACATCAAACAGACATAAAATAAGAAGTTATGGGCAAATATTGCTATTTTAAAGACTAAAGGGAAAAATGTAAACAAATAAACAACATAATTACAAAATAACACGTTTTAGGCAAAATTTAGACACAAACTGAGGACAATATTTCCTGACATATTTAATTGTGTGAAAATGTAGCACGTTAAAAAAAATACCGTGATAATACCGAAAACCGTGGTAATTTTGGTCACAATAACCGTGAGGTTACATTTTCACACCGTGACAACCCTAATACAGACATACCCTTAGGATGAGACCTCCGTACAGATCCAGAATGCCAGGTCCTCGGACCCCCCTTTGGCACCGGAGCCAATGAAACAGCGTCAGCAGTACGACAGACTAGTCTTTGGATTGTCTCCAGGTAAAAAGCAACAGTTGGTTGACAGCGTCAGATGGACCCGGAGGGTCAGTGAGTTCAGCTTTTATTCTGAAAGGAACCACTGCTTGGTTGGTAAAATGCAACAGATTTTATCCAGCTTGTTGGTTCTTTGCTTTAAAAAGGAAGTCCGGGTGGCCGGTCCGATACTACGCTTAGCATGTGGTGAACTGCCCTAAGATGGCGTGGGGACTGGTTTTATTAATCTGGATGTTTTGATTTCTGGTCGAATCAAAGTTGGGACAGATCTATAAACACCACAGAGACTATGCCACGCTTCAGAAAGGAAGGTTCTGATTGGATGAGTAACAGCAATGTGTCATGCGTTTACATTACGTGTGATCAGCATGTCTAGTGCAGCTAGATTAAAGTCATATTACTTATTACAGCATATTAATCATAACATTGTCATTTAACAGATCTGTCAACATTATATTATTGACTAACACTTTGATTAGCTTTATTAAAAATAGAGTTCTTTGATTTATTAAAAGGAAAGAGTCCTTTGTCTTCATTATTCTCTTGGGCTGGAAAGGAAGCAGTTAAGAAGCGAATGCATGACCTTGAGGCAGTCTCCTGCAGCTTAGTTCTGTGTCAGAGGCATCTGTGGAGAGAGGGTAAATAACCTTCGGTGGAATGGCTCCTCCGTCACGTTACAAGAGCCAGATTTTAGGGATAAATTAATAAAATTTACAATGCATGGGTCAGTCTGGTCAAACATCCTGATGAATAAGATAGTAGGATGGAAATCAACAGGGCATGAGGTTGGTTTCATGTGTTTCTGACTGAGGAAAATGTCCTGGAAATCTAAAGGAGTAAAGAAGGACCATGATTGAGAGGGAGGGGGTTGGATGGGGGTTAGGATGTAGATGGGGGTGAAAAACTTGCCCTGATTTTTCTGATTTTATTCTCAAAGAATGCTAGAAAGTAGTTACAGTCAGACCTTGTCTAAACTGGCATAAGAGGGGCATGAGGTGAAACAATCTGGAGTGGGCAGGTCTACGATTGTCATTCCTGAGTCTGACCGCAGAGCGGAATAAACTGTTTTTGTGGCGAGAGGTTCTGATCCAAATCTCTCGGAACCGCCTGCCAGATGGGAGCAAGTCGAAGAGACTGTGTCCAGGGTGAGACGGGTCAGCTGTTATCCCATCTGCACGCTTCAATGTCCCAGAGGTGTACAGGTCCTGTATGGAGGGGAGTTGGCAGCCAATGACCTTCTCAGCAGAGCGGACGCCACGCTGCAGTCTCATCTTGTCCCTGACGGTAGCTCCAGCGGTGATGGAAGAGGTGAGGATGGACTCGATGACTGCGGTGTAGAACCGCCTCATCGACTGTACTGACAGGTTGAATTTCTTCAGCTGCCTTGGGAAGTTCATCCTCTGCAGGGCCTTTTTACGATGGAGGTGATGGTGGGCTCCAACTTAAGGTCCTGGGTGATGGTGGCTCCCAGGAAGTGACAAGAGTCCACCATCGTGGACTGGGTGTTTAGCACCAGGTTGTTGTGGCTGCACCAGGACACCAGCCGTTCCACCTCCTTCTGTAGGCAGACTCATCCCCGATGACGGTGGGGTTGTCCGCAAACGTGACAAGCTTGACAGACTCGTGGTTGGAGTGCAGCCGTTGGTGTACAGGAAGAAGAGCAGAGAGGAGAGAACACAGCCCTGAGGAGAACTGGTGCTGATGGTCTGCAGGTCAGAGTCATTCTTCCCCAGCCTCATTTTCTGCTTCCTGTCCGTCAGAATTGGGTCAGGCACGTTCATATGGGACAGTTTGACTTGGAGGAGGTCTGGGAGGACTGTGTTGACCAACCAAACCTGAAACCACTGACTAACAACTAAACTAAACATTAAAGACGTGAGAATTACAATAATAATCATTGGAGTTAAACTGATGCTTTGTGTGTTGTGTGGACTCTCATGTGACTGTTTAAACTTGACTTTACACTAAATCTCTGTCCACAGAGCTCACAGGCAAAGGCTTCTGTCCTGTGTGGACTCTCGTGTGTGTACATAAATTTGCCTTTTGTGTGAATCTTTGTCCACAGAGCTCACAAACAAAAGGCTTCTGTCCTGTATGGACTCTCATGTGAACGTCTAAATGGTCCTTTCGGATAAATCTTTGTCCACAGAGCTCACAAACAAAAGGCTTCTGTCCTGTATGGACACTCATGTGTCTGTCTAAATGTTCTGCTCGGACAAATCTTTGTCCACAGAGCTCACAAGCACATATATCCTGTCCTGTGTGGACTTTTTTGTGTCTGTCATAATTACTCTTATGTTTATATTTTTGCCCACAGAGCTCACAAGCAAAAGACTTCTGTTCTGTGTGGACGCCCATGTGACTGTTTAAATTGAACTTATGACTAAATCCTTGTCCACAGAGCTCACAAGCAAAAGGCTTCTGTCCTGTGTGGACTCCCATGTGTCTCTTCAAGCTTCCCTTTTGGGAAAATCTTTTCCCACAGAGCTCACAGGCAAAAAGCTTCTGTCCTGTGTGGATACTCTTGTGTCTTGTTAAAGTTGACTTCACACTAAATCGTTTCCCACAGAGCTTACATGCAAAAGGCTTTAGCTGACATTCAGAATTGTTGCCATCCTGGTCATCATCTTCATCTTGGCTGACTTCAGTCTCTGAAGAGTTGGAATCATCTTTATAAAGTTTTGGATCTAGATTCCTGGTACGTTTGGCTCCTCCACAGTCCTCTCTACCACTTTCTGCTTTCATCTGGTCAGTGGTGCTGCTGGTTGGAAGATCTGCGTCTTTAGGTTGGTTCTGATCAAACTGTGACAACAGAACTTCTCTTCCTTCTTCCTTAAACTGACGAGAAACTGCAGAGAATGAAATGTTGGTGGCATCAGCTTTAATCTCATCAAGCTGCTCCTCCTCTTCCTGCTTCATGTCGAGGGGCTCCATGTCCTTCTGCTTCAAAAGAGGCCTCAGTTCTTCAGGAGCTGGCTGCTTCACCATTTGCTGAACACCTACAAACACAGACACAAAAACATTAAAGCGGCAGGATGAGATATTTTTATACTGTTCAAGTAAGAACTGTGTAGCCTCCAGGAATGGTCAGTTTTTCATCTACAGTCTGACCTCTTCAGTATCTGGCCATATGGAGACACAAGTCTTAACTGGTGCTTTCAATCTGCAAGAAAGATACTGTTGCTTGGCCAAGGTTCCTCGCAAGCTCACGCCTATCCAAGACTGGTTTTTATTCATTTTCATTGTTTATTCACAGAACAAGGCGGATGAACAATATGAGTAACTCATCATATAATGAAATGGACAATATGGTTAAATGAAATGTTGATTAATCTGTGCTTAAATTACTGAAGTTGAAATGAATATTATTATTATTACAGTGAAAGATTAACAAGGATGAAATGAAAAAATGACCCATATATTTAATCTGCACACTGACTGGACAACACACTCTCCATATCTCAATGACGCAAGTTCGAATTAACGTCACTGCACATAGATATTTTCTTATCCACAAAATCAGCATCTTCATATCTGAGGGAGGTGTGTATCTGAGTTTGTTGGCAAAACCCCTTTACAGGGCAAGTTCTGATTTATCAGTAAACCAAGATATGGCCATTATTTCAAACAGCATCACTTCCTGAGTGATTTCAGTTGAGCCTGACTCTGACAGGCCATCGGAGGGAAACTCTGTTCTCATCGCATCTTTTGACAAGCTGTCAAAACCTGTTGCACGCTACAGCTGACCGCAAACGGTTCCTTCAGAATGAAGCTGAACCAGCTTTAACTCCTTAAGAGTTATTCCTAAGACGCAAACAACCGTGGTGACCTGGAGACATCTCGAGACCGGTCTGGTGGTACTGCGGTTTCTCCTACGGACTTTGGTACCTTTGAGGTCCATACGACTTCCTGACAGTACGGATCTACAATGGGGGTCTCCGACGAAGGGTACACAGGCTCACAGGATTGCGTCTGATGTGGTTTTATAAACCATCACTATAGTTATAGCAGACCAAATTCACTCCCACTCAGAACTCAGTTTCTCCAGATACGAAGGTTCTGATAACATCACATTCACACATCATCACACCTTACATTCCATCCACGTAGAGCCATTCATCACAAAGTGTTCCCTAGTTGTCATGTTTTTAATAGTTTAGAAAATAAATTTCTTACTTTTGATAAACTTGACTGTCTGAATTCATACGAAGTGTCTTACGATCCCTGAATAAACAAAGAATTCTAAATCTTCTGGTATAACATTCAAAGACCAATCAGATTGGATTTCCATATTTATATAGAAATTCATATCTTATTGGTCAAATGTAGTGTAGTATACTGAGCTTTAAAAGCACACAAAACACATCCGTATGCTATTCCTACAACAGTTAGAAATAAGTTAAACAACCCAATGAGATTGACATTAAAAGAACACACAAGTCCACTGTACTAGGAAGGCAGGAGATGTGGTTCAAAAAGTTATTTTACAGTTTTTAAAAATAATTATTCAAAAGAAAACCTAAATGAAAGAATTAAATAATTACTAAAAAGTTTTAGTAATTAATTCTTTCATTAAAATGGCTAGAAAACTAAAAACTACTAAAACCCAGGCTAAGGTTTACCAGTGGATGACTGGGAGGTTGAATCTCAATAAAGAAAATATAACTTAATCAAAAGGTAGCCCAAGTACTCGTGGCCATGCATTCAGGAGTGAAAGAATCCTTGGACACACATGAAGATGGACCACCAGCCACCACCTTCAGCTCTCAGCCCGTAACATAAGATAAATTAAATGTGTAACTGGTTTGGCTATAATCTCAATGATTTCTTTTACAACCGACATATCAAATCCATGTAAATCTGCTGACTTTTTACTTTTAAATTTTTTAACAACTGTTATAACTTCATTTTCATTTGTGCCTTGAATAAATATGGTTTTACCTAAATTTGTTATTTTACTCACAGCATCAGCATCTAATTTAGTATTTGATATATCCTTTGCCAAATTTGGCCCAATCTCGGTAAAATACTTATTGAATTCATTTGCTATTTCTTTAGACTGATAAATTTCTTGATTGTCTTTTGTTAGAAAAATATTTGGAAGACTATTGGTGCCACTACCCTTTTTTATTACATCATTTAATATGCGCCACGTATTTTTCATGTTAGATTTATTTCCTTCCAAAAATAATTTATTTTACTAGATCTCATAATACTTATTTATTTATTCTTGTATATCTTGTAATTCTGTTCTGCTTCCTCCGTTCTTTTCTTTAAAAAGTCTTTATACAGCTTTTTTTTCCTGCAAGACTTCTGAATCCCCTTAGTTATCCACGGCTTTTCAGCATATTTATTCTTATCCACCTTATAAAGCAATGGGCAGTTTTTTTCATAGAGAAGTTACAATATTTTAAAATTTTCCATAAGCCATATTTACATCTTCCACATAAACCTCCTCCCAATTTTGTTCCATTAAGTCAGTTTTAAATGAATTTACTGCTTCTTGATTTTTTAGCCTTGTAACAACCTCAGATTCACTTTGAGTAGTTACCGTTGTCCTTTGTACAACTGTAAAAACCGGTAAATTATCAGACATATCGGTAATTGAAAGACCACTTAACACATCGTTTTCAAGAATATTTGTAAAAATATTGTCGATCAGTGTCGTTCTTGTAATTCGAGTTGGCCGAGTTATTAGTGGATACAGTCCCAGACTAAACAGAATTCATAAACTCTGTATTTGTATTTTGCATTTGAGGATTCAACAGGTCAATGTTAAAATCCCCACAGACAAAACACATTTTTCTGTTGATTATATCATCATACATATCAGCTATTTTTTCTTTAAACATTTCAACACAAGATCCTGGTTTCCTATACATACAACTGACTAACACATTCTTACCCCTTCTTTCCACTGGAGCCGTCAGCAGCACGTTACTGCAGCAGCACGTCATAGATGCTGATAGGAACCGCTGTGGTCAACAGAACCTTTTCTACCGGAGCCGTCAGCAGCGCGAGTCGGCCGCGTCTCAGGAGCAGCATGTCGCGGACCTTACACGCCGGTTCTATTTTCTACGCGCAACGCCTCTGAAACGGGTCAAGTTCCACATTTTTGGGGAAGGAAAGACAGGAAATCGGACGCAGAAACGGAGCGAAGCTCCCGAGATTTTCAGAATAAAGAAACGTACTGCCTTCCGGTTGCTTTACTTTAAAAAAAAAGTTACTAAATGTGCGTCCCCGTGAGAAGTTATCACCTAGCTAGCGGTCTCCTTTGTTTTTCAGGTCCGTATTGGCGATTATAAAACGGACAGAACATAAAACACAAACCTTTTGGAGCCATGTTGTAGTTTTCTCCTGCTTGTTGTTGTGTTTACTGACAAAGTCACTCGTGTGACTTCGTGCTCTGTCGGTAACAGCTGCTCCCCTGCTGCTTCGCGTCTCGTGGGAAGGGCCAAGCAGCAGCTTATGCGAGCAAGACGTACTGCTGCAGTAACGTGCTGCTGACGGCTCCGGTGGAAGGAAAGGGTGAGACTTTTCCATTTGTATTTCCAAAGATTCACACTCCATAATGTTATCCATAACTAATGTCATATCACCCAATGTAACTGCAGCATATAGTCTCACAATGTAATCCATATAGTTCGCTGTTGAAGTTCTATTATGTGTAGTCTAACATGTCACCTCTAGAGGGTGCTATCAGCTACCGGATGAATAGATGAGCCAACGGTAATCAGTTGCAAGCTGTACTGAGACTTGCTTGTGAGAAGTGTCAGTTGTCAGTTGAAGGAGCAGCTGGAGGAAACTGTTACGTGTTTCGCTTCGGGATTAACGGCAGATAAGCATGGACTTTGGTCGGTAGATGAGCCAGAAGAAGTGGAAAAGAAGAAAATTAGTTAATTCCTTTCGGCAGCACGCAGCCAACGAGGTATATTTCTATGTTGTTTTTTTTTTGACTGCATGTTATTCTATGGGAACCACTTGAGATTAAAGCCATGATCTGTATTTTATTTCTTTAAGAGCTAACGCCTGTTTTGTCCATGTTTTCTGTAGTTTTCACGGTGGATAAAGGTGTATGAAAGTTCATTAAATTCACCAGTTGGAGGAAACCACTTGTGTCCGAACGTGCTTCAGGGGAATTACAGTGAAAACTCGCACTGCTCATCAGCGCAGGTGGGCGGACTACTTCCGAGAAGACGGAGCTGTAAAGAGACATTTGAACCGCGGATGCGCAAGGACGTAAGAAGAGCACAGCTGTTAAGGGACATTCAAGATAAGACCAAAGGTTTGGACACGCAACGGTCAAGAGCGGTCTAAGTAAAAGGGTCAAGTCTGACAGTCAATTAAGCAAACTGTGATTGAAAGAAAGGTCTTCGTGGCAAACCTGGGTTCATTCGTGTATATTACCGGGTGTATTTAACGTTTATTGGAACTTATAAATTAAGGATTTCAGTTAAAGGGCCAGTAATTTTCTATATTGGTACATTTTATTTTGTAACCTTTATTTGTTTAAAATGTGTTAAGTATTATATTTGACAACATTTATTACTGCATTTAAATTCGTGTATATTACCGAAAGTGTATTTAACGTTTATTGGAACTTATAAACTAAGGATTTGAGTTAGAGGGACAATAATTTTCTATATTGGTACATTTTATTTTGTAACCTTTATTTGTTTAAAAGGCGTTAAATATTATATTTGACAACATTTATTACTGCATGTAAATTCGTGTATATTACCGAAAGTCTATTTAACGTTTATCGGAACTTATAAACTAAGGATTTCAGTTAAAGGGCCAATAATTTTCTATATTGGTACATTTTATTTGTAACCTTTATTTGTTTAAAAGGTGTTATATTTGACGACATTTAGTACTGCATGAGAAGTAGTTTAGTGTACTATTTGTTATGAGTTACTGCCAGATGTGACTGCAAAGGACACAATTAGTGTATAGTTCGACAGACAGGTTTTAGTTAGTTATTTAGACGTAAGATGACTGAACCAAATCAGCCCCTATTTTATTGTGAAGAAGATCAAGAAGTTGAAAGCTCAGAAGTTTCACAAGGACCTGTGGCTCGAACAAGAAAGAGCCAAAGAGTCAGGACTCTCACAGAAAAGGGAAAAGGAATGCAGGATGAAAAAATTAAAAGCCTTCGTCAGAAATTCAACTACCTTTTTGAGAAGTGGAGAGTATGTGCCAAAGCGTCCAAACGATCCTTATCACAATTAGAATCCTTAACTGAAGATTTACTTAACGACATTATTGGTGATGTAACAGGACTTTCTGCAGATGTTCAGCGGGCATTCAGTGAGTTACGTCTTAACACACCTCCTGATCAGGAAACACGGCGCAAGGTGGATCTCTGTGTACAGATATCTAAGTTTATTGTATCCAAAGCTAACAGTAATGTTGAAGGAAGGCCAGAGGAAGAAGAACAAGAATGGCCAGATATGGGATCTCTATTTGAGTCAACTATCTCAAAGTCCTGTGCTTCTGAACGCTCCAGTAAATCGTCTGTAAGACACCAAGAAGCTGCTGCAGAAGTAGCTGCAAGCCAAGCTGTTCTAAGAGTGCTAGAAGAGCAAGAAATTGAACAGAAAGAAATTGAGAGGCTTGAAGCTGAAGTAAAAAGAAAAGCAGCCGAGCAAGAAGCTTTAAGTAAAAAGCTTCGTCTGGAAGGAGAAGCAGAGGAACTCAAACTGAGAATGCAAATAGAAGAAAATGAAGCAAAGTTAAAGGCTAAACAAGAAGAAGAATACGCAACTCTGCAACGGTCTCTTGATGAAAGAAAACGTAAGTTACAGCACTTAGAGAAGGTGAAAGATCTATGTGCAGCTCAAGCGAGAATGCAAGTGTATGATCAGAGCAGTGTAACGGAGGACATCATAGTGGACATGTCAAACACTAAGGATGAAGCCCTCCGACAGCCGAGTCGTGAGCTACATCAAGGGCACATTGTTACCCAAGCTACAACAAACAATGTAGACAATGTTACAGCAGAGCTTGTTAAGGCGCTAGCAGGAGCATTAAATGCTAGCAGGATACCGGTTCCAGAACCACCAATCTTTAATGGGGATCCACTAAGATACAGTGACTGGAAACTCTCATTCCACACGCTCATTGATCAGAAGAACATTCCAGAACAGGAGAAAGTATTCTATCTTCGCCGCTATGTGGGTGGACAAGTAAAGAGTGCACTGGATGGATACTTCCTGCTTGGAACTGAAACAGCTTATGTTGCTGCATGGAAGTTACTTGATGAAAGATACGGTAATCCATTCATAATTGCAAAGGCCTACAGAGATAAGCTTCAAGCTTGGCCCAAAATCTCAGCAAAAGACAGCATTCAGCTAAGAGATTTTGCAGACTTTTTACGTAGCTGCGAAACAGCCATGTTTCATATTAAGTCATTAGAGATTTTGAATGACTGCAATGAGAACCGAAAGATCCTCACCACATTACCAGATTGGCTCATAGCTAGCTGGAATCGTACGGCTACAGAAATTGAGGAAGCAACACATAGGTTTCCCAATTTCAGCCAGTTTGTTTCATTCATCACAAGAGAAGCAAAAATCGCCTGTAACCCTATTACATCGTTACAGTCACTAAAGCAGAGTGAGTCCAACAGTCCAGAAAGGTTGAAACCTGCAAGACAAAGAAACATTGAGGTTAAAACGTTAACTACAACTACTCAAGAACAGACAGTTGTGACCTGCATGTTCTGCAAAGGGCCCAATCATGTGCTCACGAGATGTAGAGGCTTTCTGGAAAAGGCTGTAACTGACAGAGTCAAGTTTATTAGAACAGAGGGATTGTGCTTTGGTTGTCTCCAGCCTGGCCACCAGTCAAAGGGCTGTAACAACCGAAGTATTTGTGAAAAGTGCAACAAAGGACATCCTACGTGCTTGCACGAAGAACGTAACAAACAAGAGCAAATTCCACAACAAAACGAGATGGATGTAAGTTATAAAAATCCAACTCAAGGGAAGCAACCTCAAACTCAAGGAGCGACATCTACGGCTACAACGAACAGAGTCATCTGTCAAGAAGGTCACACACAAACTTCAGCAATAGTTCCTGTTTGGCTCTCGTCTTCTACAGAACCAACACGAGAAATACTGACGTACGCTCTGCTAGACTCTCAAAGTGATACTACCTTCGTCCTCAGTGAGATTGCAGAATCTCTGGATACTCCTAAAGAATCAGTCAAGTTAGAGTTATCGACTATCACGTCAAAGAATACAATCGTTCAGTCTCAAAAGGTAAAGAATCTACAAGTTCGTGGGTTTTACTCAAACAAAACTATTCCTTTGCCACCTGCTTTCACGCGAGAGTTTATTCCAGCTAACAAAGATCATATTCCGTCAAATGAGACTGCGAGGGCTTGGGCGCATCTGAAGCATCTTCAAGCAGAGATAGCTCCTCTGCAGGAATGTGAAGCAGGACTGTTAATTGGATACAACTGCTCGCAAGCATTACTTCCGAGACAGGTTGTGTCAGGCAAAGAAAATGAACCCTACGCACAGCGTACAGACCTCGGCTGGAGTATAGTGGGACAAGGTAGCCAATGCCTGAACTTTGGAGATGCTATTGGCATCAGTCATCGCATCATAGTGAAAAGGGTCGTCCCAGACCTTAATCCTTCTGTTGATCTACAGACAAAGATACATTACGTAAACAGAACTAAAGTGAAAGACATCACTCCTTCTGAGATCATTAAGGCACTAGAGATAGACTTCCCAGAAAGAGGAGTTGATGACAAGAAGGTGTCTCAAGATGATTTTAAGTTTCTTTCTAAACTTAAAGAAACCATCAAGCAGAACGACGACGGACATTATGAGATGCCACTGCCATTTCGTGATGAACGACCTAAACTACCAGACAACAGAATATGTGCAGTGTACCGTCTGAAATGTTTGGAGAAAAGACTAAGGCGAAACAAAGAGTACTGCAAGGATTATGTCAAGTTCATGGACGATATGATCTCCAGAGGTGACGCAGAAAGGGTTCCGGAACAAGAGTTAAACAATCCTGCATGGTATATTCCCCACCACGGGGTCTATCATCCACACAAACCAGGGAAAATCCGAATAGTATTCGACTGTTCGGCCAAGTACCAAGAGACGTCCCTGAATGACCATCTGTTGACTGGTCCCGATTTAACAAACACATTGGTGGGAGTGCTGTGTCGCTTTCGCAACGGTCCTATCGCATTAATGTGCGATATAGAGAGAATGTTCCACCAGTTTTATGTAGAAAAGGGAGATCAAGATTACCTACGTTTCTTATGGTGGGAGCAAGGAGACCCTAGCACGACACCATCGGTCTATAGATTGAAGGTCCACTTGTTCGGAGCAGCTTCATCTCCTGGATGCGCCAATTTCGGCCTGAAACATCTTGCGGCGCAAGGACAAGGTCGGTTCAAGGAGAATGTCATTCGATTCATCCAAAGAAATTTCTATGTCGATGACGGCTTGGCGAGCGTCTCAACAGAGAAGGAGGCTATTCAGCTTGTGAAAGACTCAAGAGACTTATGTGCTACGGGCAAACTGAGACTCCATAAGTTTGTGTCAAACAGTGAACAAGTACTTGCGTCTATTCCTGAAGAGGAACGAGCAACAACTAAGACCCAAGACATGTCTCTTAGTTTACCTCACATTGAAAGAGCGCTTGGAGTCGAATGGTGTGTTTCATCGGATACATTTAAGTTCAGGGTACAAGTCAAAGCCAATCCGTTGACCAGAAGAGGTGTACTTTCCACTGTCGCCTCAATCTATGATCCTTTAGGGTTCATAGCACCATTTGTCCTTCTAGGCAAACAAGTTCTCAAACAGATGTGTAAAGACAAAGTAGACTGGGACGAAGAAATTCCAGACTATTTGAGACCTCAATGGGAGTCATGGATTACAGATCTACCAGAACTAGCTGATGTACAAATCAAGAGATGTTACATTCCTCCTGATTTTGGACGAGTCAACGGCTTTGAACTTCATCACTTTGCCGATGCAAGCACATCAGGTTATGGCGAATGTTCCTATTTACGAGTCACTAACCAAGAAGGCCAAGTCCATTGTTGTTTAGTCATGGGCAAAGCAAGAATCACACCCAACAACATTATGACTATTCCAAGACTTGAGCTTTTAGCATCAGTCGTGGCAGTTAGAGTCAGTGACCTGTTAAGAAACGAACTAGAAATAAAGGATTTAAAGGAGTTCTTTTGGACAGATTCCACAGTAGTTCTTGGCTACTTAAATAATGATGCCAAACGATTCCAAGTATTCGTGGCTAATCGTGTACAAAGAATTAAATCTAGTACGACTCCAGAACAATGGGCTTACGTTGCATCAGAAGATAATCCTGCGGATCACGCTTCCCGGGGTTTAACTGCAAAACAGTTGAAGTCGTCCAACTGGTTTACGGGTCCAGTGTTTCTCTGGACAGAGAAACTACCGGAAAGAAATATCAATGTGGGGAAGATCAAGGATGAAGATCCTGAGCTTCGTAAAACTATCGCATGTGCCACCGAAGTGAGAAAGGAGAGAACAATGTTGGCACGTCTCCAGAAGTTCTCAGATTGGTCCAGATTGGTCAGAGCTGTAGCAAGGCTGAGACATAAAATCAAAACGTACAAAGGTATAATAACAACCATAGAAAGAGATACAAGTTTAGAAGAAAGGAAGGAGTCTGAACTTGTAATCATCAAGCTTGTCCAAGCCGAAGCTTTCTCAGAGGAGATAAATGCTCTGAGAACAAAGAAAACAGTTCCTGAGTCAAAGGATGGCAGGCTGTGTCGATTGTGTCCGTTTCTGGATGAGGAAGGGATACTTCGAGTCGGAGGACGTTTGACTCATGCATCACTTCACCCTCATGTGAAGCATCCCGCGATTCTACCGAAAGAGAGTCATATTTCTACTTTGCTTGTCAGACATTTTCATGCAAAGGTTGAACATCAAGGACGTGGAATGACAATGAACGAACTACGAGCTAATGGATGGTGGATCCTTGGCTGCAGCAGTTTGGTTTCTTCGCAAGTCTACAAATGCCTCAAATGCAGGAAATACAGGAGAGGTACTGAAACACAGAAAATGGGAGACTTACCTTCAGACAGAATTGAACCAACTCCACCCTTTACGTGTGTTGGGATGGACTGTTTCGGACCACTTTACGTTAAGGATGGACGTAAAGAGCTGAAGAGATATGGTCTAATACTAACTTGTCTTTGTTCCCGAGCTATCCACATAGAAGTGGTAGATGATCTGAGCACAGATTCATTCATAAATGCTTTGAGGGCGTTTATTGCTATCAGAGGGAATGTTCGCCAACTGAGATGTGATAGAGGAACCAATTTTGTTGGCGCTCAAAGAGAATTTGCAAACCTGATGAAGGACATGGATCAGGAAAAGTTCAAAGCTTTCGGTTGTGACTTTCTCATGAATCCCCCTTCGGCGAGTCATATGGGAGGAGTATGGGAAAGGCAGATAAGGACAATAAGGAGTGTTCTTTCTGCTATTCTTGATCGTTCAGCAAGAAGACTGGATTCAACGTCATTAAGAACCCTTTTGTATGAAGTTATGGCGATCATTAACAGCAGGCCGCTGTCTGCTGAGAGTCTGAATGATCCTGCTGGACCGGAGCCATTAACGCCTAATCATATTCTAACTATGAAGTCAACCATCATTCAGCCTCCTCCTGGACAGTTCCTGAAAGAAGATATTTATCTTCGAAAGAGATGGAAAAGAGTGCAGTACTTGGTCAATGACTTTTGGATCCGTTGGAGGAAGGAGTACTTACTCAACTTACAAGCAAGACAAAAGTGGCATGTATCTAAAAGAGACTTGAAGGTCGGAGATATTGTTCTACTCCAAGAAGATTTTGCGCCACGTAATACATGGAAGATGGCTAGAGTCACAGATGTCTTTCCTGGGGCAGACAATAAGGTTAGAAAGGTCAGACTCTTAGTTCGAGAAAGTACAGTCAACAAACAGGGTACATCTACGACTAAGACAGTTTCACTTGACCGACCTATTCACAAGGTTATTGTTTTGGTTGAAGCTGAGTGATTCCTTTTCGAATTTATGTTTACACTTGTTAGTTTATTTCAAGGAAATCTCACAAAATGATTGTGACATTCGGTGGGAGTGTAACTGCAGCATATAGTCTCACAATGTAATCCATATAGTTCGCTGTTGAAGTTCTATTATGTGTAGTCTAACATGTCACCTCTAGAGGGTGCTATCAGCTACCGGATGAATAGATGAGCCAACGGTAATCAGTTGCAAGCTGTACTGAGACTTGCTTGTGAGAAGTGTCAGTTGTCAGTTGAAGGAGCAGCTGGAGGAAACTGTTACGTGTTTCGCTTCGGGATTAACGGCAGATAAGCATGGACTTTGGTCGGTAGATGAGCCAGAAGAAGTGGAAAAGAAGAAAATTAGTTAATTCCTTTCGGCAGCACGCAGCCAACGAGGTATATTTCTATGTTGTTTTTTTTTGACTGCATGTTATTCTATGGGAACCACTTGAGATTAAAGCCATGATCTGTATTTTATTTCTTTAAGAGCTAACGCCTGTTTTGTCCATGTTTTCTGTAGTTTTCACGGTGGATAAAGGTGTATGAAAGTTCATTAAATTCACCAGTTGGAGGAAACCACTTGTGTCCGAACGTGCTTCAGGGGAATTACACCCAACAAATATACAAAGCCACACCCCCAACTTTTTAGCAATCTCTACTTGTCTAATAGGGCCTTTCAGACTATTGCACCCAGACTTTGGAACAGTCTACCTTCAAATCTCCGTCTCTCTAACACTGTAGAGGTCTTTAAATATCATCTAAAAACTCACCTTTTCATCCAGGCGTTCCCTCCCTAAATGTTCTAAAAGATGGCTTTGTTCGGGTTCACACCTTCACTTTGTTTATACTCATGATTTTATTTTCTACTTCATCACTGCTATTGTTTTTCGGATGTTTTTATTGGTTAGAGGTATTTGCTCTGATCTTTATCATGTTGTACAGCGCTTTGTGATTTATATCCGTGAAAGGCGCTCTATAAATAAACTTTTACTTACTTACTTGTGGAAAACATGATATCCTTCCATTTGAAACAGATATCCTCCCTTCCTGGAGCCATGTCTCAGAGATTGCCATTACAGTAAATTGATGATTTGATTGCTTCAAACATTGCATAATCTTCACAAAATTTGAATTTAGACTTCTACAATTAAAATGTATAACAGATAATTTACCTTTTATAGTGACAATATGTTCAAACTGGTCTTCAGTATAGTATTCACAATGATTTTGTACTCTAGTGTAACAATTGTTATCAGGATCAATGTCATCCTGCATACTATGTAGTTTATATTCTGTGTAGTCAAACCTTTGCAATTGTAAATTTTCATAACTTGAATGACCAGTTTCTGTTCTTACTGTATTGAGAGTTGAATAATCCAGATTCTTCGTATATTTTCTTGTTGTATCATCCAAGCGTGAAGTTGGTTGTCCTCCTCTTGTTCATCCTTGGTGATCCACAGCAGACGTATGTCATTTGTATTGATCAAGTTCTTTAATATCTCTGATGACCATCACTTTTGCCTGCTCCGGGGGACCATTTAGCTTTATCAGTACTTTGCAGTTTCTTGTCCAAGTGTCATGGATCTTCTTTTCTTTTCTCAGGATCCTTGCTTGCCTTGCGATTTCTGAGTTTCTTTTCGTAAGATGCTCATTCACATATACACCTGTACCCTTTAATTTTTTTGCATTCCTCAGCACCTCCAGTTTACATTTTCTACTGGCAAGCCTGATCACAATGGTTGACGTTTTACTGTTTTTGAGCCAATGAGTGACAAGCCACAATGTCTTTACTGGATATTGCAATATCTTTGTGGTTGAAAATTTTGATCACCTGATCCTCAAGTGAAGGAGAACCTGGAGAATGAGTAGCAGTGATTTCAATGTATTTTCCCCTGTCACAGGCTGCGGCCTGTGCATAGGTACGGTGTATCTCCAGCCCTGATATCAAGAGATCATCCAACCTTGAATGTTGCTCCAACTCGTCAACCCTCCGTTCAAGCAGTTCAATTTTTTTGTCCTTTTCTTGTATTAAAGCCTTAAGTTGCTTGACTTCTTTCAATACCTCCTGTAGGCCGCTCTGCTGTTTTGCCACTATAGTTATCTCATGTGACATGAAATTCAAGGACTTTTTTATCTCCTCCATCTCTTGGACCAGATTCTCCATAGACATCGTTGTTCCAAACAGTTTCCTTGGATGGTTAATAACTCTATGGTGTTGTCAGATTCCCAGCTGGTTAAAACATGGACCAAAAAAAAATGTCCAACACTTTATGTGTCAAAAAAATGTTCAATACTTCATCTAGCTCAAAAATGGTTTAAGCCAAAGGTTTCTAATTACTTAAGCCACAAAAAAGCAAGCTTAGAAAAGGTGGATGTTATCTTATTTTGCTGATATTCAAATATTAGTAGAGCTCAGCAATCTCACCACACCTACTCGGCAACCATCTTGGATCTTTTAAGGACCCGCGGATACCCTGTAGCAGACCAAACACAACCACTTTAGGTGTGACTCAACGCCGGAGTCGTTACCTGCCAGCTTGACACTGGTGTAAGAGGAAGGAACTTGTGAAGCCCTGGTAATGAGGGAAACCCCCAGCCTACCAGAGGCATAAACTTGTACTTCATGCCTCTGGTGGAAACAGACTAAGAACCAGCACCGTCATGATGACCTGGAAGCTGTAGTGTAGGGCAGCAAGAGTGAGTATGTGCCATAGGGAGAACCCAGGCTCTATATTTATAATTTCAATAGCAAAGAAAAACTATCGGATCAGGACTCTAAATCAGATCAGATTCAAAGTTGAAAGATAAGATCAGGATCGGGAACCTGAAATGCTGATCAGGACATCAGGCAGCATCAGAGGTAACTGTAGAACCTCATTTGTGTTTGGACTATTTAGATTCAGTTGAGCTTTAAGAGTTATCAAAAAATATTAGCTTAATCTAAAACTTCAACTTGTATTTTAGACTCAATCCCAACCAAATTATTTACAGATGCATTTCCTTTGGTTACTGCTCCCATTTTATTTTTATGTTTATGTATGTAGTAGACACTTTTGTCCAAAGCAACTTACAGGTGATAAGCACGCCCAACAAACACTATTCAGTCAATCCTAGGTGGCAGTGGGGCAGCCTAATGAATCATAAAGGGAAGCAAACATGGAGTGAGCAGGGGAGTGGGAGACGGGTGCATGGAGGGTGCTAGTCTAGAAGATGCTCTCTGAAGAGCAGGGTCTTCAGGAGTTAGTTGAAAATAGACAAGGAAGCCCCTGTTCTAGTAGTGCTTGGTAGGTTCTTCCACATCTGTGGAACGACACATGAAAATAGTCTGGATTGTCCTGAGTGTGGTGTAGGCACTGCTAGCAGATGATTCTTCTATGACTGGAACGGCCAGGCCGTAACGTAAGCCTTTACAAGAGGATTCAGGTAGAAGGGAGCCGTACCATCCAGGACTTTGTATGCTAGTGTTAGCAATTTGAATTTGATGTGTGCAGCTAGCGGTAGCCAATGGAGCTCAATCTATTCCTACTAAATGGATAAGTACCACAGGATTTTAAGGTTGCTGTAATCAAACCTTGACTTAAAGAGCAAGTCACCCCCAAATCAACTTATTTATTCTGATAAACTGTATAAATGCACGTCTAATCGTGCTGCAGACACATGTCGTCAATAGTTTTGCACTTTAGTGCTTTTTAGTTAAAATTTTAATTTTCTGCCTAAAACTGTCAGTGTTGTGCCGTTGTCAGGTAAAAACTCTGCACTGCATTTGAATTTAAATCTGCCACCGCTATTGGCTAAGAGGTACCCAAGAATGTTAGCTGGTACCATATGATGTCACAATGTCATTGTGAGTCTGTGTGTGTGTGTATTTGTTAGCGGCTACGCCCTCTCGGTCTGCAAGGCAACAGCATTTGTTGTATTTTTCAAACAGGAAGTGGGAGTGGAGTAATACTCTGGTAGGGGGTCACTTGCTCTTAGGAGCCTTCTCTGGATCCAGATGACCCAATGAATTATAGACCAATATCTAACCTTCCATTTTTATCTAAAGTCCTGGAGAAAATAGTGGCCATCCAAGTATGTGAGCATTTAAACACTAATGCTCTGTTTGAGGAATCTCAGTCTGGTTTTAGAGAGTATCACAGCACTGAAACTGCATTAGTGAGAGTTACAAATGATATTCTCATGGCCTCAGATAAGAATCTTGTGTCTGTTCTAGTCTTGTTAGATCTCAGTGCTGCCTTTGACACAGTTGATCACAATGTTCTTTTAGAAAGACTTGAACATGTTGTAGGGATCAAAGGAACAGCGTTAGGCTGGTTTAAATCCTACCTGTCTGACAGATTTCATTTTGTAAACGTACATGACAAATCTTCTTCATACTCCAGGGTTACTTGTGGAGTAGGGCTGGATGATATAGAAAAAAGGTACATCAATAATTATTGAAAAATATTTTTTGAATTGTAGAAAATATTTTACGTGCACCCCTGGTCATTTCATTTTTGGTAATTTGATTTTTTTCTCCGCCTCTTCTCGCTGCAACATCTTTAGGTCTGCCACAAACGACTATTGTAGTAGTCGACTAATCGTGTCATTCATAAAGGTTTAGCTTATTGCACCAGGATGCTCTAGTATACCATCATTAGCTTCTTGTCTGAAGTGTGATCAGCTATGTGACATCTAATAATAAAGACAAGATGATAGCTTACCAAACTACTTTAATTAACTTTGTAACCCATTAACTCATTCACTGCCAGCCGTTTCATGATCGCTAAAGCCCTTCGCTCCCAGTGTTTCTCACCGTTTTTACTGTTTTTTTAAGAGTGACAGAACGTTGCGCGCTAGCATGATGTCGACGCCAAAACAACCAAAACAAAGAGGAGACTCACCTCTTACATCAGGAAGAATCCGCGTGTTTCGAGCGTTATCCATTCTTTCATAATACGTTGTTGAATTGTGATCGGCAGAAGCTTTTCCGGTTCGTGCCTCACTTTTTTACAGCAGCGGCCCAAAACGATCACCTAACACACGGATGTTCTGCTTCCTGATCACGTGATGTGTGACATATGTGGATGAAGATCGGCTTTAGAGCTGAGATGTTTGTTCTCACTGTGCGGGGGCTCGTTCTGACGTCCACACAGTAAAAAATGTAAATTGGCAGGGAATGAGTTAATGATGATGAGGGTGCCATCTATTAGTTCTTTTTAAAACACTGAGAGGTTTTATTTACCTGTGTCATACGGGTAAAGTCTGTTTATTGTGGTTTTCCTTCTAGTGTGGTGTGTTTTTAGTGTGTATTCTTTTTTACTTAGTTTAGTGCATGGGATGCTTTTATTTTGGGAAACCTGGAAACTGGGAGGGTGTGTGATTTTATTTTGACGAGCTTGGACAGATGACATCCGGACCGGAGCAATTATCTGCACCGGTGGCAGATTAGGAGCGTCTTTTTTTTTTGGTGGAGACGGTGGCAGGAAGCAGAGTCGCCGGGTGAAAGGACACCGATCATCTGTGACGAGGCTTCATGGAGGTGTGGCAGTGTGAGTGTCCTGTCACAGTGTCCCGATTGATCATGCGCCCTGGCTACTTGGCCAAGGGGATGTCCCGTTGGCTGACTGGTTAG